ACTGGTTAGCCGGACTTGAGTCCTGGAAATGGGAAGTACAATGCCTGCACTTTAAAGTCTTTCTTTTTTGGGTCACCCTGCCTCAGTAGGAAATGGCTGACATAAAAAAAAAACTATTTTCATTAAAAGACATGAGCATACCATACACACATACACACACACACCCACACAACCAGACAGATGGCCCATTCTGTGAGCAGCCATTTACAAAAAATCAATTATAAGGCCTCTTGCTATCCTGTCTCCTTCCATTGTCCTGGTACCAGTCATTTGTATCTGTCATAGTGGAGAGAATTTAATTTTTAAACTAATCAATTTTACAGGTTAAGAAGTGCTATCCTACTTCAGCTTATTATAAAGGCCAGCCCTAAGGTATACTACCATCCCCATGATGCAACCCACAACAGTCTACTAACACCCAGGTACATGTACCTACTTACTGCTAGGTGAACAAGGGCAGCTGGTGTAAGAAAACATGCCCAACGTTTTCACCCTTGCTAGAGACTGAACCCCAGGCACTCAGTGTGAGGTGAGTGAGCTACCAACTGAACCACAAGACCTGTTAACTTGTGACTATGAATCTCTGCGTGTATCCCTTCTTTCCTTCTCTTTCTCTCTTCCCCAAGGAAGTACCTTGATGTTAGTGAAGGACTCTCCATCCAAACAACTGGAGCTATCCTCCCCTTCCTCAGATCAAACCTAATTGCCTCCATTTCCCAAAAGTCATGATGAGGGTTTAGCTCATCATGACTATTGGGAAATGGAGGCCTGTTGCAGTGTTCCTTCTTTCTTATGTTCTTATCCAATGCACATCAACTGGTGAGTCTAATGTGTGTTCACAAATGCGATGATATTACTTATATAATTATTACAATATTACATAACAATAAATCTTCTATTTTTTGGTGTGAATAAAAAATCAAAATGGAATTCTTGTGTAAAGCCTGGAAATGTAACTAATGAACAGAGGAAATGTTATTTTAGTGCCAGGAATGCTTGCACTGTTTATTCTAGACCCTATTTTGAAATTAGAATATTCTGAACTTTGTGTGAAATTGACCAAATTACCAATTTCTGATCACTTTACTGGGTAGCTGAAATAGTTGACTGGGCAATTTCTTGTGCTCAATCGATAAAATAGAAAGCATACCAGCAAAATAGCTAAGAATTTGGTCTACTGGAACAATGTAATTGGCCTAAAATAGGAGTCAAATTGGGCAAAATCACTGATGCAGCAAAATTCATGACAGCGTAATTTCGTTAATTTTCCATCAAATTTTGTACTTTTTGTTTTATTAACTTCAAAAAAAATATTACCATTTTATAATATGACAATTTTTTTTTTTTAATTCTTGGACCCTGTGGACTAGTTTCAGATCAGGGGTCTGGACCCTGAAAGGGTTAACTTGATATTACAGATAATTTTAATATACAGCTGCAGTAACACGGATAACACTTGGATGCACTAACATAAACATTGCATATATTGACCTAAAAATTTTTTTAGAACATTTACTTAATAACTGAACAACCATGGTTGTACAATATATTTTAAGAAGGTGTTGTAAGATAAGTGAATGCTCGGGTGTTGGTAAGAGGTGTCGGGTTAAAAGATAGAGAATCTAACACAATGTGGGAGTTGCCACAGTTGCTCTTTGCTGACTGGGAGATTCTGAAGAGAAGTTGCAGAAGTTAGTGGATGAGCTTGGTAGGGTATGTAAAAGAAGAAAATTGAAAGTGATATAGGAAAGAGTACAGTGATGAGGACAGCAACAAAAATTAGGTACAAAAAATTGGATATCAGGTTGGAGGGAGAGTGTACGGAGGAGGCGAGTGTATTCAGATACAGTAGACTCTCAGTTAACGATATTAATCCATTCCAGAGAGCTTGTCCTTAACCGATGTTATCCTTATTCGAATTAATTTTTCCCATAAGAAATAATGGAAATCCAATTAATCCGTTTCAGACATCCAAAAGTATTAAAAATAATTTTTTTACATGAAATATACATTTCCTTACACAGAAAACAATGATACATGAAGAATAAAACAATAATAACATTACACTTGCCTTTACTGAACACATGGTGATGTATGGAAGACAGGAGGGGGGGAGAGGATGGAGAAGTTGACAATTGTTTGGAAGGGGAATCCCACTCCATAAAGACTTCAGGTACCAAGTCCTTATCCTGGGTTACTTCCCTCGTTTGTTTTTTAACCCTTTCAGGGTCCCCAGGCCCTCTCCCAGACTTGTTCTCAGGGTCGCCCAAATTTAAAAAAAAAAATTTTTCTTCTTGTGAAAAGATATACTGTAGAATCTTTTCCCGATCACAATGACACCAAAAGTATGAAATTTGATGGAAAACTTACGGAATTATGCTCTCGCGAAGTTAGCAGCCTCGACAATGTTTACGTATCAGCGATTTTGCTCACTTTGAGCCCTATTTTCGGCCAATTCCAGTGTACTAGTCGACAAAAATCGTAACTATTTTGTTAGAACTCCATTTTTCTATCGAATGAATACAAAAAACCACCTATTTACCGATTTCAACTATCCAATACAGTGGTCAGAATTTAGCAATTTTGCCAATTTCACACAAATTTCAAAAGATGCCAATTTCCAAATAGGGTCCAGAATAAACAAGAAAGACATTCCTGGCACTAAAATAACATTTCCTCTGTTCATCAGTCATGTCCCCATGCCCCTCTTACATTCTTTTGCTGTCCACTTGGAATTTTTTATTCACACAAAAAATAGAAGATTTACTGTTACGCAGACTACTGCATTAGTGTAGAAATAGTATGAATAATATCGGCGCACTTGTGAAAGAACATTAGACTCACCAGTTAACGTGTATTGGACGCTTAGCATGATTTGTTTACTTTTGAACTTTGATAAAAATCGAACATTTCTGCTACTTTGAGCTCAATTTCAAGGTACTTTTAATTGTAAAACCAGTCAAAATCATCTCTATTTCTGTAATATGTCTTCCATTCTGTACAATGAGATCAGGAAAACTAGAATACAACAATAAATACCATATGAAAATACAGTGCAAAGTCGCTGTTTTAATCCAAAAACACGGTCAAAGTTTTTTTTTTCTCATTACGCACTGTGTGCTGCAGGATTTTTTTATACTGTGCACACTGACCACATAGATCCATTCTTTCATATGTAGGCCTACCAGCTTTCTCTCACTAGATTTGAGGGCGCTAGAATTTAGGCGTACTAGTACGTCAAAAACCCTGGTGCATAAGCCGTACTTGTACGTCCGAAACCCTGAAAGGGTTAATGCCACTAGGACCAGCTTGAGAGCCACTGGACCCATGTCGCTCAAAAAAGTTTTCTAGAGAGGTCTGTTTCTGGCATATGTTAGGAACTGTGTTGGGAGACACAAGAACGTCCTTCAATATGACACTAATATCAGCTCTATGGCTTATTTATCTATCACAATTCATCTAATATGACATAATAAACAATATTAATAACATAGAAATATGACATATACTCCAGAATGAATAAAATGCGTCATTAAGTATGTCACGAGTGTTGCTGTGTTGTTGTTGTTGTTGGGTGTATAAAGGCAACTGAGAGCATAAGCTGTACAGAGTTGTGGTGGAGGTGGCAGAAGAGGCAGTAGAGACGATGATGATGTCAGTCGCCCTACATAACTCCAACAACATTGGAGGAGTTAAGTTCGTGTTGTCCTTTTTCTATTGATTAATCGCTTAACTTACTTGCTACAGTTAATGCTATACTTTTTGCTGGCTGCCGCAATAGCCTTTATAGACTCCTGCTGCTTTAGTATCGTACATATTGCAGAATCACTGAAAAAGGCACATTCTTCCCTTTCACTCGGCCCTTTGCCAAAGGGCCCATGGTAGCTTATTTAGCAGTTACAAGCACTAAAAACAATGGAATACAAAATGTATTGCATGTACACGTGGAACCATACGCAGTGGCTTGTAAACAATAGTACACTAACCACACTGGAGAGGCCAGGCGGCTCAGGCCGTGCGGACATGTTCTGAACAAATGTCCTTAACTGAGTTTTTTATCATTAACCGAGCCAATATTTTGACGCAAAAACGTATCGGTATCTGATTTTATCGCTATCCGATGGCAATGTTAACTGAGGGTCCACTGTATTTAGGAGTGGATGTGTCAGCAGATGGGTCTATGAAACATGAGATGAGTCATAGAATTGATGAGGGGGAAAAAATTTGAGTGGTGTACTGAGGAGTCTGTGGAGACAAAGAACTCTGTCCACGGAAGCAAAGCGGGGAATGTACGAGAGTATAGTTATACCAATGCTCTTATGTGGGTGTGAAGCATGGGGGGGGTGAATGCTGCAACAAGGAGAAGGCTGGAGGCAGTGGAGATGTCATGTCTGAGGGCAATCTGTAGTGTGAATATAATGCAGAGAATTCGTAGTCTGGAAATTAGGAGGAGGTGGTGTGAGATTACCAAAACTATTATCCAAAGGGCTGAGGAGGGGTTGTTTGGACATGTAGAGAGGTTGAAACAAAATAGAATGACTTTGAGAGTGTATAAATCTGTAGTGGAGGGAAGGCAGGGTTGAGGTTGGCCTAGCAAAGGTTGGAGGGAGGGGGTAAAGGAGGTTTTGTGTGAAAGGGGCTTGGACTTCCAGCAAGCATGTGTGAGCATGTTAGATAGGAGCAAATTGAGATAAATGGTTTTAAGATGATGCACTGTTGGAGTATGAAGGAGGGTAATATTTATGAAGGGATTCAGGGAGACCAGTAGGCCGGACTTGAGTCCCGGAGATAGTAAAACAGTGCCTGCATTCTGAAGGAGGGGTGTTAATGTTGCAGTTTTATAACTGTAGTGTAAGTGCACCTCTGGCAAGACAGTGATGGAGTGAATAATGAATGTTTTTCTTTTTCAGGCCACCCCACCTTGGTGGGAAACTGCTGTGTTAATATAAATAATTTCACATAGTAATACAAAATTGTGTGACAGAAATTTTATATCTCACCTGATTTGTCTTCGTCGTCGTCAGATATACACAGCCCAAATTCACGCCGTAATCTGGCCGTTAAATTTTCTCTCTGGCGCTCTAGAAGAGTAGGTGCTGCATTCCACTTGACATCCTGAGAGGCAACATTACCAGCAGTGATAGTGGTGAATGGTGTAGGTGTAGTGGTTGCAGCAGCAATGGTGACACCTGTGCTGGTAGTTGTAGTGAAGACATTGAGGGCAACAGCAATAGTGGTTATAGTGCTACTGCTGCTACCATTACTACTACTGCCCTTCATGCTGTATGTGTTGCTCTCACTCATGCTACCTCCTTCACTGCTACACTTACTCTCCACATCTGATAGCAAAAAATTTATGCAAAGTGTGATCATCCTAGAAACAGGAATAGTTTGGTTGAGGCTAAACTTTAGTTTTCAATTACAGTACTCAAAATTTTTCAATATTCTGAGATGAATGAAGATGCTAAGCTTCAAACATGGGCAATATCAAGAGACCCACCTCTTTTAACTTCATCTTTGGTAGACTTGCCATCAAGGATAATAGACAGCGGTGCAAGTAAAAGTGGTCGAACAGGAGAAAGAACAAGATCTGGAGAAGATTCCGAAGCTTCACTTCGATCCGTCTTTTGTGGAGGAGACAAATACGTGGGAGAGAGGGAAGGTTCTGGTGTGGATGTGTTAGAAGCAGAGGAAAGGTTGGAGGAGACACAAGTGTCTGCACAAGAAGCAGACAATACTGTGGAACACAAGAGCGATGAAGGGGGAGGCGATGAATCTGATGGTCCACTCAACAACACTCTACTCTCATTTTCACTGCTCACGCTTTTCCTCTTGCGATACTCCAAGATTGATAACTGTTGCAAGAAAATCAAAATTATAAAATTAAATTGATGATAAAAACAAGTAAATGTACAGTACTGAATTAATTTAAGTGGTGTGTGCACAACCCATATATAGATTAATAATGTATATAATAATGATATGTACAGTATTAGCATATGTATCATAAAGTCTGTTTACAATAAGTTACTTGTACATAGCAAAGCTATACTTGTGGTGAGCTGTCTCCCTCTCATGGAGGTCACTCTCACTACCACCACCACTACACATGGGTCACCCTTACTACCACCTCCAGTACACTACACATGGAGGTCATTCTCACTATCACCTCCAGTACACTACACATGGAGGTCACCTTCACTACCACCTCCAGTACACAACACATGGAGGTCACTCACTACCTGCCATGCTCAAGTACACAACATTGTCTCATCTGTGTGCGTACTCACCTATTTGTGGTTGCAGGGGTCGAGTCATAGCTCCTGGCCCCACCTCTTCACTGATTGCTACTAGGTCCTCTCTCTCCCTGCTCCATGAGCTTTATCATACCTCGCCTTAAAACTATGTATGGTTCCCGCCTCCACTACTTCACATTCTAGGCTATTCCACGGCTTGACTACTCTATGACTGAAGAAATACTTCCTAACATCCCTTTGATTCATCTGAGTCTTCAACTTCCAATTGTGACCTCTTGTGTCTGTGTCCCATCTCTGGAACATCCCGTCTTTGTCCACCTCGTCTATTCTGCGCAGTATTTTATATGTCGTTATCATGTCTCCCCTGATCCTCCTGGCCGCCAGTGTCGTCAGGCCGATTTCCCTCAACCTTTCTTCGTAGGACAATCCCCATAGCTCTGGGACTAGTCTTGTTGCAAACCTTTGCACTTTCTCTAATTTCTTGATGTGCTTGACTAGGTGTGGATTCCAAACTGCTGCTAGGTAAGACACATATGCAACAGTTTCATAATAAAGATACCTAACTGTTGCATATGTGTCTTACCTAACAACCTGTCGGTATTTTATACCATTTTAATGTTCAAACTGGTGCTGCATACTCCAGTATGGGCCTGACGTAAATGGTATACAGAGTGTGTGTGTGTGTGTGTGTGTGTGTGTGTGTGTGTGTTGTGTGTGTGTGTGTGTGTGTGTGTGTGTGTGTGTGTGTGTGTGTGTGTAACCACCTAGTTGTACTCACCTAGTTGAGGTTGCAGAGGTCAAGTAATAGCTCCTGGCCCTGCCTCTTCACTGGTCGCTACTAGGTCACTCTCCCTGAACCGTGAGCTTTATCATACCACAGTGTGTGTGTGTGTGTGTGTGTGTGTTGTGTGTGTGTGTGTGTAGTGTGTGATGAGGTGTGTGGGTGTGGGTTGTGGTGTGTGTGTTTTTGGTGTTGTGTTGTGGTGTGTGTGTGGTGTGTGGTGTGTGTGGTGTGTGTGTGTGTGTGATTGGTGTGTTGTGTGTGTGTGTGGTGTGTATGTGTGTGGTGTTTGTGTGGTGTTGTGTGGCGTGTGTGGGGGTGTGTGTGGTGTGGTGTGTGTGTGTGGGTGTGGTGTGTGTTGTGAGGTGTGTGGTGTGGTGTGTGTGGTGTGTGTGGTGTGTGTATGTGTGTGGTTGTGTGTGTGGTGTGTGGTGTGTGGTGAGTGTGTGTGTGTGTGTGTGGTTGTGTGTGTGTGTGTGCGTGTGTGCGTTTGTGTGCGCATGTTGTGCGTGTGTGCATGTGTCTGCGTGTGTGTGCGTGTGTGACATGAGCATGTGTGCCATGTTGTTGTGTGGTGTGTGGTGTGTGTGTGTGTGTGGTGTGTGTGGGTGAGTGTGTGTGTGTTGATGTGTGGTGGGTGGTGTGTGTGGTGTGTGTGTGGTGTGTGTGTGGGGTGTGTGCTGTGTGGTGGTGTGTGGTGTTGTGTGTTGGTGGGTGGTGTGGTGTGTGTTGTGTGTGATGTGTGTGTGTGTGTGTGTTGGTGTGTGGTGTGTGTGTGGTGGTCGTAGAGTTGTGGTGTGTGTGGTGTGTTGGTGCGTGTGTGGTGTGTGTGGGTGTGCGTGTGGTTGTGGGTGTTGTGTGGTGTGTGTGGTGTGTTGTGGTGGTGTGTTGTTGTGGTGTGTGGTGGTGTGTGTGTGGTGTTGTGTGGTGTGTGTGTGGAGTGTGTGGGTGGTGTGTGTGTGTGTGTGTGGTGGTGTGTGTGTGGGTGTGTGTGGTGTTGTGTGGTGTGTGTGTGGGGTGTGTGGGTGTTGTGTGGTGTGTTTGTGATGTGGTGTGTGGTGTTGGTTGTTGTGGTGTGTGTGTGGTGGGGTGTGTGTGGTGTGTTTGGTGTTGTGTGTGGGTGTGTGTGTGGTGGTGTGTGGTGGTTGTGGTGGGTGTGTGGGTGTGTGTGTGTGGTTTGTGGTGTGTGTGTGGTGTGGTGTGTGGTGTGTGAGTGTGTGTGTGTGGGGTGTGTGTGGTGTGTGTTGTGGTGTGTGTGTGTGGGTGGTGTGTGTGTGGGTGTGTGGTGTGGAGTGCGTGTGTGTGGTGTGTGAGGTGGTGTGGTGTGTGTGGTGTGTGTGGTTGTGTGTGGTGTGTTGTGTGTGTGGTGTGTGTGTGTGGGTGTGTGTGGTTTGTGGTGGGTGGTGGTGTGTGTGTTTGTGTGGTGTGTGTGTGTGTGTGGGTGTTGTGGTGGGGGGTGTGGTTGTGGGTGTGGTGTGTGTGTGGGTGGTGTGTGGGTGTTGTGTGTGTGTGTGTGTGTGTGTGTGTGTTGTGTGTTGTTGTGGGTGGTGTTTGTGATGTGACACTGATTGTGGTGGTGGGTTGTTGTGTGTGTGTGTGTGGGTGTGTGTGTGTGTTGTGGGTGTTTGTGGTGTTGTTGTTTGTGTTGAGTGTGGTTGTGTGTTGTTTGTTGTTGTGTGCAGTGGGGGGGGGTGTGTGTGTTGTTGGGTGTGTGTGTGTGGGTGGTGTGTGTGGTGTGTGTGGTGTGTGGGTGTGGTTGTGGGTGTGTTGTGTGTGTGGTTGTGTGTGTGGTGTGTTGTGGTGTGTTGTGGGTGTGTGTTGTGTGTGTGGGGTTGTGGGGGGGGGTGTGGTGTGTGTGGTTGGTGTTAGGTGGTGGTGTGTGTTTGGTGTGTGTGTGGTGTTGGGGTGGGTTGTGGTGTGGTTGTGTGGGGTAGTTGGTGTGGGTGGTGTGGGTGTGTTGTGGTGTGTGTGTGGTGTTTGGTGTTGTGTGTGGTGTGTTGTGTGGTGGGAGAGGGGCGGTGTGTGTGGGTTGTGTGTGTGGGTGTGTTGGGTTGTGAGGGGGTGTGGGGTGTGGGTGGTGGGGTGTGTGGTGTGGTGTGTTTGTGGGTGTGTGGTGGTGTGTGTTGGGGTGTTTGTGTGTGTGTGTGTTGGTGTGTGTGTGTGTTGTGGTGTGTTGTGTGTGTGTGTTGTGTGTCTGTGTGTTGGTAATCACCTAATTGTACTCACTTACTAATTGTGTTCAGGGTCGAGACTCAGTCTCCTGGCCCCGCCTCTTCACTGATCGCTACTGGATTCCACTCTCTCTCTCTCTTCCTGACGTTGTCATACTCTTCTTAAAACTATTAGGTTCCTGCCTCCACTACTTCACTTGCTAGCTATTCCACTTGCTGACAACTCTATACTGAAGAAAAACTTCCTAACGTTCCCTGTGCTCGTCTGAAGTCTTCACTTCCAGTTAGTGACCCCTTGTCCCTGTTCCCCTCTCTGAACATCCTAACTCTGTCCCCCTTGTCCTATTCTCCCCGCAGTATCTTGTAGTCGTTTATCATGTCTTTCCCTGCACCACCCTTCTGTCCCTCCGTGTCGTCATCCGATTCCCTTACCTTTCCTCGTACGACTTTCCTTGAGCTCTGGGACTAGCCTTGTTGCAAACCTTTGTACTTTCTCTAACTCTTGACGTGGCCGTGACCAGGTGTGGGTTTCCAGACTGGGCTGCATACTCCCAGTAATGTGCCTAACCATACACAGTGTTACTGTGTCTTGAACGATCCTTATTAGTAAACTGAACAGATAATCTCATTTTGCAGGCGCCCGAATGCTGCAGCGTTTATTTGGTTTGATGTGTGCCTCCAGTGAAGTGCTCGGTGTTATGGTCACCCCAAGTCTTGCTCCCTGAGTGAGGTCTGTAGTCTTTGTCCACCTACCTATACTCTGTCTGCGGTCTTCTTTGCCCCCTCCCCAATCTTCATGACCTTGCATTTGGCTGGATTTGAATTCGAGAAGACCATTTACTGGACCACATACCACCATCTCCAGGTCTCATTGCAGTCCTGCCTCATCCTCGTCCGATTTGAATTCTTCTCATCAACTTCACGCATTCTGCGAACAGGACACTTCAATGTCTATTCCTTCCATCATTGTCGTTCACATATATCAAAAATAGCACTGTCCTAGAACTGGACCCCTTTGGGACCCCGCTCGTAACAGGCGCCCACATTGATAACCTCTGATCACGGTACCATGACTCGTTGCTGCCTCCCTTCAGTATTCCCTTATCCAATGGCAGTGCCCTTCCATTTACGTGTGCCTGATCCTCCATCTTCAGCACTAATCGTCATTTGGGTACGAGTACAGAGGCCTTCCTCAGTCTAGGAAAACGCCATCACCCAACCCTCTCTCTCATGTCCTTACTCTGTTACCTTGTCATAAACTCCAGAGTTGTGAGACAAGATTTGCCTTCCTGAACCATGGCTGGTTTTCCATTTATAACTTGTTCCTTTCCAGGTGTTCGACCACCTCCCCTGATAATCTTCTCCAGACTTTGCACACAATACATGTCAAGACACAGTCAGGTAATTTAGTGCCTCGTTGTCTGTTCCTTCTTAAATATGGTGGACTACATTAGCTGTCCTTCCATCTCAGTATTGCCCATTTCAAGGTATATGTTGAAGATTGTGGGTTAGAGCACACACAGCATCTCTGCCGCCTTCTCTAAGACCCATGGAGATTTGTCCGGTCCCACGCCTTTGAGGTGTCAAGGTCACTTAAGAGCTTCTTCACCTCCTCCTCAGTTTTTGTTCGTATCGTCATCCCACACTGTGTTTGGTATATTCCCTCTATGGTTCCCTTCTGTTCTGTCTTCCACAGCCCCTGTCCGTCTCTACTGTAAAAAACTTCCTTAAATCTCCTTTCACTCCTCACATACCTCCTGATCCATTTCTTGTGAGTTCTCCACCTTCTGTCCTTAATCTGATCA